TAGAGGCTGAGGAGTTCAGGGCTAATTAAGGCAACATAGGGAGACAAGTGTCTTCAAACAAAGCGAAAGCATCATCAAAGAGATGAAAAGTAATAATTCACAGGCCAAGAGAAAATGCTTTTAAAATAATACAGGATTAAGGATCAAATCCAAAATAGAGAAAGGAATCTTAAAACTCAGTAATAAAATTAACAACAATGACAAAATATTTAAGCAAATAATTATGCATAAGGTTGTTAGAATGGCAAATGAGTATAGAGTGAGATGTTTAAACTCATCAGACATCAGGAAAAAGACAAATCTGTGCCGAGACACCAATACACAAATCAGAAAAAAATAAATGGAACACCTGACCATAGTGAGTGCTGCTGGCAACAAACTCAAACTGCCTTGGACAGTGCCACAGACACTTGCTTAAAGTGAAGCATGGGAAAGCAAGGCTGTGGCAGGTGCTCACGATGAGACTGACACTGGATCCCCGCAGGAAGGAACCCAAATGCCCACCAACTGATGGCCAGATAGACAACTGTTATCCACTCACACAGCGTATTACTCAGCGATTCCATGACCTGGGACCTATACAACATGAGATGTTCTCATTACGCTAAGTGAAAGAAATCAGACATGAAAGTCTACAATGTTAGTTCATTCAGGTAGAATTCTACAAAAGGTGAGTCTGTGGTGACAGAATTATGTTTTGTTCTGGTTTTTTGTTTGTCTGGGTTTTTTGTTTGTTTAGAAACAAATTGAGGCTAGCAAAATAGCTCAACAGGTAAATTAACCAAAGAACCTGGTAACAACTCCAAGTTCTGTTCCCATGACTCACATTGTAGAAGGAGACTACCAACTCCTGAAAGTTGTCCTCCAACTTCCACACATGTCCAGGCACTTGTACGTACACACACACACACACACACACACACACACACACACACACACACATAAATAAAAGTAATAAAAAACAAACGGACTTGCCGTGTGACTTTATAGTAGAGTGCATTCCTGAGACCCTGGGTTCAGTATTAAGAACCAGAAAAAGCAAAGGAGTTTTGTCTGCCTGTTTCAGACTACAGGACATGTAGCTGTCTTACTGTTTATAAACATGAACGGTCAAAAAAATCTACAAGTAGAGAACTGGATGTATCTGTGTATGCCCACAATCGCCCACAATCCCAGTACTCAGGAGGAAGTGGGGAGACCACCAGGCCAACCTTGGCTACACAGCAAGTTCAAGGACAGTCTGGGCTAACTGTAGCCAAACAAAACTATGGTCATTCAGTGAAAGAAGAGAATGACAGAGCTGATGGTTTGTATTTGCAACCAACAGACTACCACTTGAGCTAGGAGTTCACAGCCAACCTGGGCAACTGAGGGAACATGAATACCCTTAAGGAAAAAAAGGAAGGCACTGATTAGAAGAAAATATTCATAAAATATATACATGATGGAAGATTGAATCAAAAGTAGAGAATGGGATTTTACAACTCAATAATAAATGGACAAAAGAACATTTATTCTGATGGCAACAAAATGGTTTCTAAAAATCCTGAAAATGCAGTCCTTCAAAGTTGCATTGCTGGAAATAAGTTGTGACTGCATGGAGTTCAGTACATGGAAAGATACAAGTGTTCTGTAAATGCACTTTTTAAAGACCATAATTTCAATTTAATTTTCCCTTTAAATCACTCAGTCGTCGTCCCCCAACAACACTTGGACCATTCATTGGCAATGACTGGTAATATAGGTCAGGAAGGCAGGGGGACTAGCTCAGTGGCTGCAGAGCCTTCGGGAACAAAGCCAGCAGCCCAGCAGCTGCACAAGCAGGAATCTTAACAAAGAAAGCTGTCTGCTGTTGACATAAACCGTCTTGGGGGAGAGGTGAACTCCCCCAGGAGGTGACTGCAGGTGTATTGGCAGGACCAGAGGAGAGAAGGTTCAAGCAGCAGATGGGGTTGCCTTGGCCTGTGGCCAGGGCCAGTCTTCCCAGATGAGCTATGGCTGGAGGTGTCTTCCACCTCGCCTGGGAATTCGCTTGCAGCTTTGGACCCCGTGGGGGTTAGATGACAGTCCCTGTGTCTGTCCTCCGTGTGAATTTAAATTTCCAGATGGCAATCTTTGGTCCTGTTAGTAAAGATGTAAGGCGCCCCGTGTGGTTTTTAAGGGTGTCACTGAGCATGCGGCAGGGTGTGAGGGAAATCCATCCCTACCAAAAACCATTTGCAGTTCAAAGTCAACACACTTCTGGAGGAATAAGAGATACTTTGTTCTTGAGCCAAATATAAATGACCACAGTCCAAGAACCCACATAGATTCAGGGTGCTCAGGATAACATGTTCCATTAAGGAAACAGTAGACTTTTACTGATCACAGAATGAAAGAAGTAATAAATACACTTGCTGTTTACATTTGTGGGGACCACAGGCAGATGGGTTATAGCAAGGGGATTAAAACAACAGCAACAGTTCTGTTACAGATTTCACATGCTCTCTTGCATGCTCACATGCAAGATATTGGTTCACTAGAGTACATTTCAAAGGCTTTTCTTTACAGTCAAGAATTGTTAGATCAAACACAGAGTGGGGAATGAGTGACTGGTAGGGGCACTGAAGAAAGCCTGATAGGTCTGTGCATCTGTGTCGTTCTAACTCACCACAATTACAAAGGTCTAGCCCATTGTTCCCAAAGTGAAGAGTGTTCAGCATGGATGTTTTGCTTGCTTGTTTTCTGGGAACTTCAGTTTACACAAACAATTAAACATTTTTGTTTTTGTCAATGCTATCAGTACCTTTTTCTGACTCGGTTTTCTAGACAATAGTGATGAGGCTCATGTATTCCCATTATTGGTTTAAGTGGAGAAGTGAATAATCTCATTAAATTGTTACCAGTGAGATCTAGTCATCTCAGAATCCTAGGAACATACCTTGGAACAAATACTGGGAGTCATGGCTTGTCTTTCTAGAAAGACCTTGTAGCTTAAGTATATACTGCTTACACTAGTAAAGATCTCCCCACATATCCTGGCAGCATGGTTAAGATACATGGTCGTGGTCTAATGACACCACACATGTTAAAGTAGATGAAGCTTGGTCCCACCATAAAGCAGGATGGAAACATGGTTTTGAATGAGGTGTGTGATATGCCCTCCTTGCTGGCAGCTGAGGCAGCGTGAACACAAACTATTGCCACCACATTCATGCCAGTTGGAGTCCCAGTGCCTTTTAGCTCAATAGATACTTGTTAACCAACCATGTGCCCTATTCTACAGGGAATTCCGTGAGGGGTATAAGTAAGACAGCAACCTTAGCATGAAATACTGTGAAATATCTTTTTGGCAAACCAGATGGAAAGTGAGTAACAACAAGAGAGTGCCCGAGGCATGTGGGTGGATGGGCTGGAAAGTAGAGGCAGTGGCAGGCACAGGAGGAGTGGCCATTTCATTGAATGAAATGTTAAGGGAAGAGGGGCCCACATGAACCACTTAGTCCCCAGGAAGGGACAAGGTCTTCTGTTTGGCAGAAATGTCAAGCAAGAAGAGAGAGGCAATTGCATTGGTGGTTAGGGCAGTGCTGCTGACCTTCAGAATAGAGACTTTGGGGAGAGGAAGGCAGTGGGCAGGAATGCTGGGAGTTATGGAGGAAGTGCACCAGCAAGCTTAGCAGTGACGGGAGGAGGCACAAAGAATATGAGAACTGCCGGGCCTTGGTGGCACACGCCTTTAATCCCAGCACTCGGGAGGCAGAGGCAGGCGGATCTCTGTGAGTTCGAGACCAGCCTAGTCTACAATAGCTAGTTCCAGGACAGCCTCCAAAGCCACAGAGTAAACCCTGCCTCGAAAAACCAAAAAAAAAAAAAAAAAAAAAAAAAAAAGAATATGAGAACTGCTCTCTTCTTACAAGGAGAAAATTGCTGTTTTGAAGGCAGAGGTGTGTGATGTTTTGAAGAGGAGACATTCAGAGTATTTTACAGGCAACAACTATAGAATCCCAGTTAATAAAGGACAGAATCCAGGATAATCGACAATATTTCAATAAGGAAGTGAAACTGGAATAGTTTTGCATTTTATGTAAATAGATTAAGAAATTCGAATCTAATTACCAATTAATAACTCAAGCAAGAAATCAAGGAAAAAAAACTGAGAAGTTTTTCCGAATTTCTTTTCATCTTTTGTTCTCTACAGAACATTGCCATGTCTTCTCTCAAAAAATTAATGAGATTAGTCCTCACCTCAATGGAATTCTTCTGTATTTTAGATTTTAAATGTCCCACAAGAAACCCATGTGTTCACAGCTTGGTCTCTAAGTATAGGGTTAGGAGGTGAGGACTGATGGGTCATTGGGAAACATATCCCTGAAGGGAATATGAAGACCCCACCCTCCTTTTCCTCTCTTGCTTCCTGGACATGATGAGGTGAACAGATTGTCCCATCATGCATTTTCACCATGATGCTTTTGCCTCACCTCAGGATTAAAGCAACAAGACCAACCAGCCTTGGAGAAACCCCTAGAATCTTGAGCCCAAATAACACCCCCTTAAGTTGATTTTTCCAGCTAGTTAGTGCAATGAAGGAAAGCTAGCAAACACAAATAGCTTGGTAAAAGAACTATGGATAAAGGCTCTCAGTCTTCCCTTCCTGAGGAGGAGATCAGGGAGAATAGAGACAATGGCACCTGTGGCAAGCATGCTTACTTCCTGTCAGCATAGAAGTATTCAGGGCTTCTCGTGAATGAGTGAAGGGCACATGCTCCTGAATGACAGGAAGTGTGCCAAACCATGGGGAGAGCCAAGATGTTGAGCTTGTGTGTGTGTGTGTGTGTGTGTGTGCACGCGCGCGCGCGCGCGCGCTCTCTCTCTCATGCGTGTGTGTGAGTGTTGGGCAAAATCTGAGTGTGGTATGCTTGTGGAGATGAGTGTGAATGTTTCTTGCTCCTTCACAGTGGGATGTGTCATTTGAAAGACCTGTTCTAACTGTCGTCTTCACAAGTGTTATCTGTCCTCCTCAGACACAGGTGTGTTTGCAGTGGTCAACAGCCATTCCTTGTCCTTGCTGGGGAAGCTGACAATCAGTGCTGCCTTCAACATTGTTTACATCTACACCTCTGAGCTGTACCCCACTGTCATCAGGTATGGGGCTCATGGTGCTGCGTCACATTCATGCCATCTGAACTTTCCTGACTGCTTCTGTGAGTAGAGATGGCCTTCCCTACCTTTGCATGGTCACTTGTCAGCCATAAGAGCATTTAATCACCCATTGTTGTAATTACTATTCTATCACTGTGAGAGACACTATGACCAAGGCAACTGTTACAAAAGAAAACATTTACTTGGGGCTATCTTACAGTTTCAGAAGGTCATTTGTTTTAGATGAGAAGTACATGCTTATATAAGAAAGAACATCTTCTATCCCAATGTCCCAGATTCAAGATGGGGCTGCAACCTCATCTCTGATCCCAGTGCCCTGGGACAGTCTTCCCTATGCCACCCCTGTGCCAGTCTCCTAAGAGATCATTTGAATTATCCCCTTCTGACTCCTCTTGCCAGAGCCCTACAGGTGCTTTCTACCTGTTGGCCTGAAGTCTCCTTCCAAAAACAGCTGGGTCTGAAGTTGTCTGCTCATCCTTGGTTGTTTCTGCAACCTGTCTGTCACTGCCATGCCATCCACACAGGGACACTTCATGCTGACTGACAGTAGGGCTGAGAAGGAACTGGATGGCCATCCTATCTGGAAACAGTTCCATTCCCTGCTCCTTCCCTTCCTTCTCTCTAGACTGTTCATGATGTTCTGGGTTGCCTGACAGAGTGCCCACATTTTTCCCTGTTTACACACCTGGCTTTTAATAGTTAGCTGAATTTTTTGAAAATGGAAAAATGTTTTGGATCACAAAGCTCTAGTTCTCTGGCTGTGTTAACTGGTAGAGCTAAAGTCACTAGTTTTCAGGAGACACGCTCAGATGCTCATTCTGTTTCCTCCTCTGTCTAATATGGCTATCATTATCCTCATGTGACTATTTAAGTTCATTAAAATTGCAGAAATCAGGGGCAACATTAAGAACACTGACTGTGGGGTGGAGAGATGGCTCAGAGGTTAAGAGCACTGACTGCTCTTCCAGGGGTCCTGAGTTCAATTCCCAGCAACCACATGGTGGCTCACAGCCATCTGCAATTCAGTCTGGTGCCCTCTTCTAGCATGTAGGCAGAACAGTGTATATGTAAGAAATAAATTAATCTTCAAAAAATACATAAAAAAAGAACACTGACTGCTCTTTCAGAGGACCCAGGTTCAATCCCCATCACCCACATGACAGCTCACCACTGTCTGTAAGTCCAGTTCCAGGGGATCCAACACTTTCTTCTAACTGCCAAGGGTACCAGGCACTCACATGGTGCACATATGTATAGTCAAATAATCATACACACAAAAATAAATATAAATCTTTAAAAAGTCAATCAGTTTCCACTGAGTATGTGGTTCATGTCTTGAATTCCAAGAGTAGGAGGCAGAGACAAGAGAATTGCCACAATTCAAGACCAGCCAGGGTCACCACAACAGTAAAAATTCACTTCATTATCCTCATGAATCACGTTTCAAGGACTGAGAAGCCTCTTGCGTCTAGTGACTTCCTATATGGTGATGATTCCAGAGCTCTTTGGCCTCACAGAAAGGTCTAGTAGGTAGCTCTGTACCTTCTATTTAGGAATTATTTACCATTTTGAGTTCATTGTATTCTTCCAATCCAGAATATTTAAACTGTCCACCCCCAAAACTTAAAGATTTTATTTAATTAGTAATTTTGTTTTTCCTCATGCCTTCCAGGAATGTTGGCCTTGGAGCATGTTCCATGTTCTCTCGAGTTGGCGGGATCATTGCCCCGTTCATACCCTCACTGGTTGGTTTGTACCTCCTGGTTCTGTTCTTCCTGGTTCCCTGCTTTGGAACTCATGGGTGCTTTTGTGTAGAAAGAGGTAATGAACAGGTCCAACCAAGAGCAGCTGCACAATGTGAATCATGGGCCTTTCTGATGAAGAGCCCAGGATTCTGTCAGGTGCTTGAACTGGGGGTTTTCTCCAGTGGTCTGGCTTTTTGTTCATCTAGACTCACTTTAGGGTCTGATAATACCAGCAAGCCCCTCCCCATAGACATTCAGAAGTCAATTAATTAATATTTATGATATTCTGTGGTGGGCTGGGTTCTATGCTAAAGACTTTACATAAGTTTCTACATGTAACCTTCACAGCAGCTGTGAGAGGCAGGCCTTGTCATCTGCTCTAAAGAGAAGTGCTCTAGAAGCAGGTTGAGTATGTGCTCACCACCGGGAAAGGAAACTGGAGGAGAAACACACCTTGCAGCATGTGGGCCCTGTCTTCTTTGGCATTTTGGGATCAGGAGAACCAGTGACCACTTTAAAATCCTTGAAGCCTTAAAATGCTCAGGTTCTGTGAAAGCCCTGGGACCCATGCAGGTCTCTTCTTGATTTTTGCTAGATAGAGGATAGATATAAGCAGTGGAGCTGGGAAAAGGGGTCCTACAGATAGCCTAAGCTCTGTTTGTTAAGCCTGACAAGCTATTATAGAAGACAGCTTCATGATAAAGGCTGTTCTTAAAATAACAGACTGTCTTAACCCTGGGACAATAAATGTTTTAAGTGATAGACAGTCATGAGATCAATCATGGGACCTTGAGCTGTCTCAGGAAGGAGTCAGACATGTGGTAACTAAGAACACTACGCTGCATCATGGTATTATGTCTTCTGAGGTCAGAATGCCTCTTCCGTATTAAATATCCTTGGGGCTGCTACATCAACAACTAAAGGTTCAGGGAATTTCCCCATTTACACTAACAAAAACACTGAATTCTAAAACCTTTTTAAAAGAGACTGGAGAGATGACTCGATGGTTTAAAACACATCTTGGTTTGATCCCTGCACCCGTGTCAGGCAGTTCCCAACCTCCTATAACTTTAGGGTATCCAACACTGCCATGGGTACCAGCACATCCATGCACTTACTCACATACACATAATTAAAAGTCCTGAAATAGTCTTTAAATATTATATCACAATATGTTATTAAATAGTAAAATATCATTAGAATATTATTTACACTGTGGTTTTGACACAACCTTTGAGGACTTTTCTAGAGGTTCTTGAGAATAAATAGCTGGGAGTCTGTGCTTTGAAAGAAATCATTGGCTTACCCTAAATACTTTTGAATCTTTGAAGCCATTGCCAGTTGCATCTTATTCAACTCAAATAGCTTAAAACTCTGTGTATCAGATGATTTTTTTCTCTCAGTCTCTACTCCTTTAATATTGGGTCGGTCAGTGGTAATGTTATAACACATTTGACAACTTCCAAGTTTATTAGCAGCAAATAGTTCAGGATATCCTTTCAATGAAGAGAATGTGGAGCTTACTGTGGAACAGACTTCTCGTTCAGGCGGAAGCTGGACTCAGAGTTTCTGTGAACTCTGCCTGTGTGAGTCTCCTGAGCTCACAGATAGCCATGGCTGGTCCAAGGAATCTAGTCCATATTCTTTTCAGCCCTTTCACTCACTTACATCCATCTCTTCATGCCTAAGGAAACATTCTGTGACTTCCCAGGATAATTGTTTTGGAGCAGAAATAAACAAAAACATGGTGTATGGTGTAGTCTAGTGGGAAGGTGCTGACTAGACAGTAAACACGGAAGTTTTGGGTCACAAGACTGCTGATATCACCTGCTAGGAAACTGATAGGTTTCTTTGTTTTCATCGCCCTTTCTATGCCCACAGAAGGATGTGCAGTGGTCTCTGCCCTTCATCGTGTTTGGAGCTACCGGCCTTGCCTCAGGCCTCCTGAGCCTGCTGTTGCCAGAGACTCTGAACCGCCCTTTACTAGAGACGTTTTCTGACCTTCAGATGTACTCCTATAGGAGGTTAGGGGAAGAAGCCTTGTCTCTTCAGACCTTGGATCCTCCACAGGTATAGAGACACTTGCTGTAACTATCCATGTCTTCCATGAGGGCTAAAAGAGATTTTGAAAACAAAACATAATGTTCAGATTGAAAATAGAATGGAAAACAAAGTTGAATTGAACAACAGATGATTTACAGCAAAATAAAGATAGTAATGGATTTATTAACTTTCTTAGAACACTCTATGGGCAATTTGTTAGGAAAACAGATGTCATAAAGATACATTTGTGGGGCTGGCAGTTTTTGTGTTAAATGCATGAGGTGCTCTGGGATTTGATCCCCAGAACAAGCTAAAGCTGGGAGTGGTGGTACACCTCTGTAAATCCAGCACTTGGGAGGTAGAGGCAGAAAGATCAGGATTTGATCTCAGCTACATAGCAAACTGGAGGCTAACTTGGTCTATGTAAGACCCTGTCTGCAAACAACAACAAGAAAATTGTCATGTGGTAAGGAATGATAATCCTCACTTAGGCGTGTCATGACATCATTTTACTGCCTCTACAAGTTCTCCTTTGCCATTTCAGGCCCTGGACAAGGCCAGCACCTTGGGGAGCGAAAGCGAGGAGGAGGAGGAGTTCTATGATGCAGATGAGGAGACACAGATGATCAAGTGAAGAGCCTCACATCCCTGCCCAGAAGCAAAGTATCATTATCATGAATGCCCCGGGTTCACTTAAACACCAGTGATGACTCAGCCCGCTGATGCTTTCTAGACACAGAAGAGGATGCGGGAAAAGTTCCAAAAGGGAGAACCTTGGCACATTGAGAGAATCATTCCTAATTGGTTCAGAACTGAGGCTGAGCTCAGCACCATGCCTCTGGCCACACAGCTCAGATCCACTGTCTAGGTGACTGACTTGTGCCTCATGCTGCTTCCCTTTCTCGGGACCTAAAAGCAGATTGTGAAACTGCTCACAGTTTTACTAGGATTAGCCACACCTTTCCCCAAGATTTCATCTTCCTAGTAAATTTGATGTCTGCCCCTGTCACTTGCTGCTCCCCACTAGGAATCTTCTGGTGCAGGGTGATGTGCTCAGAGTGCCCAGCTTTCACTCAGCTGGTTCCTACCCATTGACTGGCAATGCAGCTTGTGCCTTTAATCTGAGATCATTTACTAGTAAAAGCCAGCATCAACAGAGGAGTTTGCTGTCATCAGAGGACTGGCTGTGGCTCGGTAGTTCCCTTTGACACTTGTTTTGTGCAATGTTCCCAGTTCTTACTTGGAAACACTTGGGAAATTTTTCTTTGTGAGATTCAAGTGTCAGCAATAACTTCAAAATCATGCACAGTTGATAAAGAAACTCTATAAGCTGGGGAAAGTCAACAAATGATGTGCTGAGCATTTTTTAAATGTGACTTAAATGAAAGTGAGGATTTTCTTTCACAGTGTTTGCTGTCTTCGGTGTGCAATGAGGGATTTGGACAGTATATCAGGGCTTGAACTCTGCCCTACATGAGCCCCTACTTATTTATTCAAAAGGCCCAGCGATTTTTAAAGAAAATGTTGAATTTTAATTAAATGCTTCCATTGATTTCCAAATAAATCAAAATCATATTAAATATCTGTTTCTCACAAAACTTGAACACTCTCAAAGAGGCATATAAACCAAGAGTCCACGTGTGGCAATTGATCACTTTCCCAACCAGGGAAATTGCTTGCGTCTAGAATGTCTGTTTATGCTAATCTCTTGGGAAGAGAAAACGCACAAATAGGAAAGAAAGGCATCCTGAGGATGTTTCTGGACATCACAGAGACCTGCATCGTGTCACCTCCTCCGTGTTGTCTGTACCCACCTGTTCCTTTGTTAAAACATTGTTTTCCTTTATGTCCTTGATGAGGGAGCCATTTCTACCACTGTAGAGAAGGGTGGCTGTGATGTGGTGAAGACCTTGTAGGTTTCTAGCTGTCAGGAAGGCTATGGAACTCCCTGCAGCATCGTATCTACAAATCTCAGCGAAGTGTGCCCGGTACCCCAGACTGTGGAGTCCTGCTCCTCTCTGGGAAATGGAGATGGCTCTCCTTAGGAAAGGAAGAAAAGATCTTCGAGAAATACTTGGTTCTTGTCAAATAAAGTGTTTAAAATAAAGAAGTAACTTAATATATATACATATAAAATTTTGACTGGCTTGATCTCTCTTTATAAGAATAATATTACCTATTTTGAAAACTTGATTTTTCCAATCTCTGTTGCCACTGAGGTCCCTGATCTTCTGGTTAAGTAGAGAACCTGTAATTCTGGTGCTGTGTTTGGTTTAGGAGGTAGAAGGAAGAGCCCAGTGTTGTGTAATAAGGCCAGGTTGGCTGTTGGCTGGTCTTGTTAAGTATATTGTTATTTTCTTTCTTCTCCCTGGATAGTCCTCTAGCATAGTTTATAATTATTTCCACTGTCTTTATAAAGATGGATTTTATTCCCTATTAGCTGTTAATAAATATTAATGGAACAGAATTGCACATGTGCATTGATTAAATTACTAGAAATCTTACTTGGTAGGTAATAGGTTTTGTTTGTATAGATAGCCCATTAAAAGCAACTTTAAAATAATAGTGAAGGTGTCTGAAAAAGTCATAAGGAATCATACTATTAACTATCTACTTATAATACCTATAATACATGTAGGTCATTATATAAATATACACAAATAGTCTTTGTATTGCACATATGTAGTGCTGCTTGGTTCTTGACTGTCACCATGGCCCCGGCTGGCAGCACAGGCTATCCAGATGAATTTGGTCCCAGTGCAGCATGGCCTTCTGACAACAACACGGTCTCAGTGGGCTAACCATAACCCAGGCATCCACATGGCCCTCAGTGGCAACAGGGGCCACAAACATCAACTCACACCCTGGCTGTTATAAGGCTATGGAAGGGGAGGTACTAGTGTCTGCCTCTTGTGAATTTAATAAAGGATCACAGAATACAGGCTTTTGTTCAGACAGAGTGCATTGGGAATACAGTAGCAACTTTGAGAAGCACAGAACCTACTAGAAATCATGAGTGCTGTATGAGATGGATTGTAAAAAACAAGTCAGGGGCTTAAAAGAGAGCCCAGGAGAACAGTGTTAAAGAATACAAGGATGATGCATTGTGGAAAATCCTTGGATTAGTATATCAGAGGAAGAAGACTCGTGGCCGCTTCAGTAGGTACAGCATTCAATACGTATTCCAAATTAGAGCTATCAACAGACTAAGAATATAGGAAACATGGCAAGATGGGCTCAGCCTGAGCTTCAGTTCAGTGTCTGACACCCATCAAAAGGAAGCAGAGAACTGGTTTGTGCAGGCTGTCTTAGGACTGCCACACGTGCACAGTCACACATAGACGCACAAAGAAGAGCGTGTAAAGTTTAAAAAGATACAGAAAGCCCCTTAGCAGAATAAAGGATATTGTAGTAGATGTGGTGAGTGGCACACAGCATCTGCATCTCCTTGATATATCATATTCATACTTTCTTGATCCCAAGGCACAATAAAAACGTATGGGGCCAACAGGATGGCTCAGTGACAACCCTAGTGCCTTACTTTGGTCCCCAGAACCCACATAAAAGTGGAAGGAAAGCCCAAGCTGGCCTTGAACTCGTGATCGTCCTGCCTCTGCCTCTTTCAGCAAATCCTACCTGCGTGCACCACCACAACTGGCTAGACGACAGATCTGGCACCAGTGAGACCTCTAGTAATCTAAAGGGATGACACTAACTAGCAAGCTAAGCAATAGTGGAGAGACCACCTTAAATGCCATTCCTGGTAATGAACTTGATGTCTATAACCATCGTAGAACCTTCCTCCAATGACTGATGGAAGCAGAGGCAAACACCCACAGTTAAACACTGAACTGAACCCATGGAACCCAGTGACAGAGAGAGAGGAGCAATGGGCAAATTGGCAAAGAATGGGCTGGCAAAACTAGCAGAGACAGCTGATCTGAACAGGGGAGAGCTCTTGGACCCCAGACCGACAGCTGGGAGGCCAGCATGGGACTGATCCAGACCCCCTGAGTGTGAGAGTCAGTGAGGCGGCCTGGGCAACCTATGGGGCCCTGGGCAGTAGATCAGTGTTTATCCCTGGCATACAAACAGACTCCGTGTGTCCGTAACACATAGAGGGATGCTCTCCCCCCTGGACTCTTAGGGGAGTGCCTGGACCCTGCCCTGAGTGAAACGGCAGACTCTAGATATCACCTTTGTGGAAGGAAGTGGGGATAGAGTGGGAGGCTGGGGGGATGATGGGGAGTACGGGAGGAGGGGAGGGGGAGGGAACTGGGATTGACATGTGAAGCAAGCTATTTAAAATTAAAGTAATAAAAAAAAAGAAAAACAAGTGGAAGGAAAGAACTGACTCCATAAAGTTGTCTTCTGATCTCCACACATATGTTGTGGTATGCACACGCCTGCACACGTACATCACACACACACATACACATGCATACTCACCACATGCACAATTAAAAATACATATATGCATGTGTTTGTGTGTGTAAATGTACACACATTTGTGTGCATCTGTGTGTGGAGACCAGAGGTTGACGTTGAGATTCTTCCTCTATCATTCATCGCGTAACTTTTTCAGACAGAGTCTCTCACTGAATTTGGAGCTCACCATTCTGGCTAGACTGACTGGTCAGTGAGGCTCCGGGACCCACCTGTTTCCAATCCTGAGTGCCAGGGCTACAAATGCATGTTGCTGCATTCAGCTTTTCTGTGGATGTTTGGGATCCTAATTCAGGTCCTCATATTTGCATAGTAGGCAATTTATACATTGAGCTATCGGCCCAGATTAAGAAATGCTTTTATATATTCTCTCTCCTTAAAGATATATAAATGTGCATAAAATAGAAAATAAGTGTGTGTATAGCTTTTATAAAATATAATTCATCAATGGCTTTGTTTCATTGTTTTGACATTTGTGACATAAGTCAATTTCATGATGCATTAATAAGTTGTAACCCTGTTTGAAAAACACTATTCTCCTTGTATTGCAGAAGCTTTAAGACTAAAAATGTACACTGCCTGGACTCACTTGCAGCTATGCTTCTTGATGCATTTTAGATTCAGCCAATCAAACACAGAATTTAAAATATGGAAGTGAGGTAAAGATCTGCTTTTTATGTCTGGGCTTCATAGGGGTGGAACCATTTGATTTCTTTCAGGCAGTATTAGCAGAGATGTTGATAATCAGTGGCAATGATAATTAAAATATTTTCATATGGACTTGAAATAATGTCAGAATTCACAACAAAGATAAAAATCCTTAAAAAAGAAACAACAGTAAATAGCCAGACTTCCCAGTTATCAAAATATGAATGGTAATCTTTGTCAAAGAAGACTAGTAGCAGCCAGACATTGGTGGCACACGCCTTTAATCCCAGCGCTCGGGAGGCAAAAGTAGGCGGATCTTTGTGAGTTCAAGACTAGCCTGGTCTACAAAAGCTAGTTCCAGGACAGTCTCCAAAGCCACAGAGAAACCCTGTCTGGCAAAACCAAAAAGAAGAAGAAGAAGAAGAAGAAGAAGAAGAAGAAGAAGAAGAAGAAGAAGAAGAAGAAGAAGAAGAAGAAGAAGAAGAAGAAGAAGAAGAAGAAGAAGAAGAAGAAGAAGAAGAAGAAGAAGAAGAAGAAGAAGAAGAAGAAGAAGAAGAAGAAGAAGAAGAAGAAGAAGAAGAAGAAGAAGAAGAAGAAGAAGAAGAAGAAGAAAAGGACTAGTAGTACACACACACACACACACACACACACACACACACACACACACACACAATTAGCCAAATATTGAAACTGAAGAAAACGAAATTCACTAGCATCACATTTACTAACATCATAATAGGAACATTTAGAATGTCAGGTTGAGGGCAGTGGTAACTCACACCTTTAATCCCAACACTGGGGAGGCAGAGGCAGAAGGATCTCTGTTAGTTCCAGAACAACCTCTAAAGCTACAGAGAAACCCTATCTAGGGGGGGAAAAAAGAAAAAAAAGAAAGTCAAGGTTGAAAGTGTGTACATTCTATTTGCTAGGCAGTGGTGGTGTTACCCCTTTAATCCCAGCACTCAGGAGGCACAGGCAGGCAGATCCTTGTGAGTTCAAATGAAAATGGTAGCGGCCCTAAAAGAGGATATAGGAAAATCCCTCAAAGAAATGGAAGAAAAAACAAAGCAAAAAATGCAAGAAATGGAAGAAAAAAACAAACCAAAAAATGCAAGAAATGGAAGAAAAAACAAACCAAAAAAGGCAGGAAATGGAAGAAGAAACAAAGCAAAAAATGCAAGAAATGGAAGAAAAAAACAAATAAAAAAATGAGAGAAATGGAAGAAAGAACAAATCAAAAATGCAAGAAATGGAAGAAAGAACAAACCAAAAAATTCATAAAAGGGAACAAATGGACTAAAAGATAAACTGAAAATTGCAAGAAACAATGCAAATACTGCAAGAGTTGAAAACTGAAATAGAGATAATAAAAAAAAAACACAATCTGAAGAAAGGCAGGAAATAGAAAAGCTGGGCAAATGGTCAGGTACTACCGATACAAGCATTACCAACAGAATAGAAGAGAGGCCAGCCTGGTCTAAAGAGAGAGTTCCAGAACTGTTAGGGCTGTTACAACATACATCATTGTAAGAAATATAATTTTTGCACAGTGCATGTTTGAATATACATACAAATATACTTTTATAAAAATTACCCTCCATATCTACTTTCTGTTTCACCATTAAAATCAGAAAACACTGGTAATGATTCTGAGATGATTGATGATTGACAATACATGAAGTCATAGCACACAGCTGTAGAGAGTAAGATGTGCCATCCTTCTCTGCTGTGACACAATCTTTGGACACTGTAAATACACATTGCTCTCATTTTTAATAAAGAAACTGACTGGCCAAGAGCTGAACAGGGTAAGTTTAGGAGGAGAGCCAGAACAGGAGAATGCTGGGAGGAAGAAGGGCAGAGTCCGGAGTTGCCAGTCAGATGCAGAGGGAACAGGAGATGGATGTGCCATATTAATAAGGGAGCCACCATGTGGCAGAGTGTAAGTAAGGAATATGGGTTAAGTTAAAATGGAAGAGCTAGTTAGTAATAAGCCTGAGCTATTGGCATGGCATTTGTAATTAATATAAGCCTCAGTGTGT